AGAATTGCTAATGAAACAAAGGATGTTAAATACTATTTTACAGGAGAAAATTAAAGCTACCGTGCTATAGTAAGTGAAATAATTTTACATTCCTTGCTGGTGTTTTCTTTATTATATAACTTAGGTTCTTGCTATTCCCTTGCTCCCTACCGTGTGCGTGTTCTTCTTTACTATTATTTTGAGCCCAGATCCTGCATTATTGTCCACATATGGATGACAATGCAGGATTGGGACATAAGCAACAACACTTAAAGGGAAAACAGAAGGTACCATTATGGGTTTGAAATGCCTCAGTCCTTTAATTCAGATTTTTTTCTTGGATCATTTTGTCTGTTGCTGTTCTATTTAGCCAGTTCTTGGAAGCATGATACTTTCACATTGTACACAGTTACTAAACAGCAGGATGTTTTTATTAATTATGTTACATTAGCGCGTAGGAACCCCACCCAAGGATCCTTCTGGTATAGCTTCTCAGTTCACTTAAATTCTTTCCTTGGCATAGTCTATAGTGCAAGCGTACACTGTAGCTATACAAGTAAAACTCAAGCAGAAAAATAGAAGCAAGCAATGAAGTCAGAATAGTCAATAAGGATTCTAATGCCCTCTCCGCTGTAACTGAAAGCACCTCGGTATTCACACCCTATTGTAATAATCTTTGTACAAAATGTGTCTTGTGAGGTATCATTTGAAAACTAACAACTTACTGGTCATTAATATCATGGTGAATTTTAAGTAGCAACATGATATGTAAAATTATGAAATCTCCCTGTATAATGTTTTTAGAACATTGTCAAAACCACACAGCCCTGCCCAGGCAGAAGTATCTTGGACGAAGAAATGTGTGTTTACCTCAATTTACATATAAGTAGTAAACAGGGTCCTTGAGACAGGAGAGAGAGAGGAGATGGCAACAGACAACCCAAATTTGCATTTCAGCAAACACAGGTGAGAAGGAAGAGCATGGAGCCTCCTTCACCACCAAACTCCATGGTGCCTTCTTTACTTTTTGAATAAACTTTGCTTCGAGGGGCAACCCTCAGAAGAATCCACTTCAAAGGTTATAATATGGAGATATAACTATCTCATAGAACTGGAAGGGACCCTGAAAGGTCATTGAGTCCAGCCCCCTGCCTTCACCAGCAGGACCAAGTACTGATTTTGCCCCAGATCCCTCAAGGATTGAACTCACAACCCTGGGTTTAGCAGGCCAATGCTCAAACCACTGAGCTATCCCTCCCCCCAACTGGTTAACTGGACTATAAAAGAAGAGGCAGAAAACCCCAAGGGATCTCTATTCTCTTCACCTAAGAAGACAAAGGAACCATCCCTTGGACTCTGGGGAGTGGGAGGGGGAAAAGAGATCCTGACCTGATAATTTGGTCAGCCATATTGCTGGGAACATGTGGTAAGGATTTTACCTTGAGCCAAGTCTAGCTTGTCAAGTTTTAGTTACTAGAAAGCATTTTATCTTTATTTCTCTTGTAACCATTTCTGACTTTAATACCGGATACTTGAATTCACTTAAAATTCTATTTTCTTTTGTTAATAAAACTGTTTTATTATTAATCTAAACCAATCCAGTGTTGTGTTTAAACTGATCTGTTTGGTGACTCCACTTATAGCAGCAAACTGTTGAATATTGACCCTTTACAGAGGCAACGGACCTTCAATATCTGAACCGTACAGGAGAGGGCTGGACAGTACAGAACACATGTTTTGGGGAAAATCTGGGACTGGGAGTTTGTTGGGGTCACGCTGCAAATAGTAACCAAGGCTAGTGGAAGCCAGACTGTGAATGGTGTGTTGCTGACAGGCTGCTGGGGTCAGAACTGTTAGACCAGCACTACAGCTATACACAGACTCAGGGTGTGACCTGTAGCCTGGATGTGAGTGCCCCAGGTTGGGAGCTGCAGCAGCAAAGCGTTGTGAGGCGCCCAAAGTTGCAGGGCAGGCAGTGACACAACCCCTCACTGGTCTGGACTGCACCCCAGAACTTGACAGCCACACCCCCCAGTAGTAGAACCTCTTACCGGTTCAAGAAGTAGAGAAGAGACTCGGGAATAATTACTGCTGTCCCAAACAAGGCTGCTCTTGATAAAGCTGTGTCTTGTACTGCCTAAGAAAAATGTGATTCAAGTTAGAGCTACCTGACGCTCCAGCTCTGCGCTCCTGCAGCTTTGCTTTTAGTCTTGGTAACTTATTATTTGTATTACCATAGCTAGTCATGGACCAGGACCCCATTTTCTTAGGTGCTATACCACGCTAGGATTTCGTGCAACAGTTAAGTGAAGGGTCAAAATTTTTGGTAGGATTTCTTTCTAAAAGGGAAACGAAACTCTTTCAAGTGGTGAGTATACCAGTTGTGGATTCTGTGTTATCTCAAAAATAGGGAGGTTCCCACTGATGCATTATACAGCTCATCTGACATGGAAGTTATTTTAAACTAGTTCAGCCTTGCAAAAGTAGCCTTTTAAAGGTACTGAGCTTCATCTGCTCTCATTGACTCAAAGTGACCCATCTCCTCCTGCATCCCCAACCCACATGCAGCCTTCTCTCTTCTTTTGTGGTGGTTTGCACCACTAGGGTTAGAAGGAAGGAAGAAATGCCTGTGCTTGCGCCACTGAGGCTGGCCATTGCACCGGATGCATTGGGATCAAGGGGGGCTCTATCCCCTGTAAACCTGCACAAAGCCAGGGTTTTGGCCCAACCTGGTTTAAAGGAATTTGTCCAAGTCCACAGATCAAATTGGTGGATAAGCTTGGATTAAAACACAGAAGTTCCTGGCTCCAGTACAGTTAATTCACTCTATTCTCAATACTAAGTCCAGCTTTTCGTTGGGAGGGAAAACAAACCAGCATGAACATATCTTGGTTTGCCTACCTTCAGCCCAGCTTTTTGTGACACTCCTATGACCTTGCCATTCTTGTCCATAACTTCAATTCCATTCTCATACTCAGTTCCTCGGACAATCATCACATTAAATACACTCAGGCTGGCTGTAAAAGTAAAAAGGTTTTGGGTTTGTTTTTTAAAGTTGTTTTGGCCCAATTAGATTTTACCAATTCATTATTAGGACTTTTATAATTAATGCACATTTTAAAATTCCAGTGATATACTGGGATGAACTCCGCAAGTCGTACTTGATAGGAATTGAACGTAGGTATCCCAAGTCTCAGTCCGCTGCCCTCTGCATTAAGCTGCACACTGCTCAGTGATAAGATCAACAGAACTCAATTATGTACTTCGCTCCCCAGCTGCAGACCTCAAATAATGTGCCTCAATGCTTTAATTCAGAGCAACCCCCATTCACCTAGTACACAACAAGAATATTTCATTTCCCTTCTGGACTTAGCAGTCCATTGTCTTAAAATATCCAATGTAGTGTCTATCACTGAAAAAAGTTTTGTGATCCTAGGCTAATGACACAAGGGGATACAGAATATGAGGAGTTGAGAGTCCAATGGGTTTCCTGCCTCAGCTGTCATAACAAAACTCTTACCAAAAATAAGCCCTCAACTCTGAAGGTGACTGAAGAACTGTGAACAGCAGCACGGGCCAAACATATCAGGGAAGTGCTAGGAAGTTAGCCCTTTTTGAAATGTTAGGTTTATCTTTTCATTAACTTTTTGAAGGGCTGTTCAATAAAGTTGTCAGCACAATTTGTTTCAAACACTAAGACCAATAGTCACCAATTACCTTCAACATTCCTATCATTAAGTAAGTTTTCAGATGAGGAGACACAGGTCTAAGTGACCAGTCCAAGGGAGGAGAGTCAGTGTCAGCACTTGACGTAGAACTCAGGAGATCCGGACTCTCAGTATTTTCATTTTTATTCCATCAAAAGTGGGCTTCTAAGTAGATCTGAAGAACACGTTCGGGAATCCACGTGCCCTGTTACATTCCATGTAACAGACAGGATGACATTTATTGTACCTTATAAATTTCAGTTAAAAAAGGTTGCCGCTTCCTTTTAATAGCGGTGGGAAATAAAAGCCAGTAATGAATGCAACTTTCAGCCATTAAATTACAGGCCAAGTTCATCCCTGGTGAAATTTCACTGACCTCAATGGAGTTACGCCAGTGACAAATTTAGCCTGATAGCCTTACAAAGTTGACAAGAACCTGCTGTAATGAGTCTCACTTTTTCCACAACAGTGGCTGCAGAGATAATGTCTTCACTGACAAAGAGGTCACACATCGGAGAAAAATGGTGGCATATCCATGCACAGGAATTTATTTCCTCAAGAGATATGGCTGCATGTCCTGTATATGGAAGTAAGGAGAATGCCCTAGGATTTTATGATAGTTCATAGCACTGACCTTTAAACAGAGAATGCAAAATAGCTAGATATAACTTTCATGCAGAAAAAGTACCCAGTGAAGGCAGCAGGTGAAGACTAAGGGTTATATCCTGGTTTGGTTCTATATAAAGATATAGAAGTTCTAAAGGCAGATTGACGGCAGCACATGGGCTGTAACAGATACAAGAACAAATCCACAGCTATTTGTTTTCAATTTACTTTTACTCACCAAGAAGTGGAATGGGCAAAATTTTTCTGAAGAACGTTTGCATAGGACCACTCAGTCTATGTTGTGTCATGACAAAGTAAGGAAATGCCTAAGAAATTTGGAAGAAACACATATTCTGTTAATAATTAAACCAATAATGAAATTTGGGCCACAGACTGGAAAAAGAAAACAACCTGTGGCTTTGTATTTTAAATGCTTTTGATAAAACTAGGCTGTTAAAAAAAGAAATCTGGTTTAACAATTTAAAGGAGAACAAATTTTCTCTAATAACTGTTTTTTTTTTTGTGATTACATGTTTTACAGAAAAAAGGGAAAATGAAACCTTTATCAAAGAAAAATGGTATTTAATAATTCTATTCTGGACAGTAGTTGGTACTACTCAGTATCAGCCCATGTGCTATAAAAATGTCAACTGTGAAATTAACAGATACTAAAAGAGCTTATGAGTGGGAATAAAAATACATGATCAATCTGCCTAGATATTTATGAAGCACCCAGACACTATAGGTATCTAGGTGTAGAAAATGAACTAAAACCATTTAAGTTTTCTTAGCAATACATATCACCATGCAAACATGAAGTTTTGCCCATTATAATGTAATTCAATAAATCTTAGATATACTTATTGTGTTCTTGAATTTACTGGTGATTGAACAGCCCTGGAGTTTGAAATCCCCATAAATCTAAAACCTTGAATCCGATGATAGACTGAGGCCAAAACTCCCAAACTGAACATTCCCAAAGTTTGTAGCTTCAAACCCAAAACTTTTACCATAGCTTGGAGCATTGAAATTTAGTCAGTTATAAAGGTAGGTATGAGCTAAAAACTTGGCTCTAGAACCTAACTAGTAATAATTCACTATGACCTGCTAAATTAGTTTGTGTTTTGTAGAACCAATGTTCATTCTATGGTTTCTTCTCTATTTTCTAGACTAACAGAGATAGAGAATGATAAAAACAGAATTTAATAGTGGCAGGAAAAAAGGCTACTAAATTCTAACCTCAGAGGAAGATGAGTAAATAGCACAGGTAAAGGCTTACATTCCTGATCAAGAGCAACAGAGGTCGCAATCTTCTATACCCAACAGGACTGGGAGGAAACTAGAAAGGGTGACTTTGGGCTCTGGAAGAACTGACTTGGAGGGTACTAGGCCTTGTGACAATCCCATTATCAGTCCCCCAAGCCAGAGTATCAGAAAGTAATTATTGAGATAATGCAAATACGTACTCCCATACATGCTGAATAAGAGACGGCACCTGTGTACAGAAGGAGTTGCTTTTGTGGCAGCTTTTGTGGCAATGCAGTTTCCTAAAAGTCAGAACACACACACTCTGTAAGTTCAATTTCATCAGCTCATGTTCAAAGTGGTATCATGCAACTGAAAAATAATAATCATTTTAAAAAACCCACATACTTCAGCTTTAGCTGTAGCATTTCCATTTGCTATGGTGAATCCAGCAGTGTAAGCATGAAATAGGAACTGCAGAAAAGGAGAATGTAAACAACAGTGTATTTTTGGATCTTGGATAACAGACTTATAACTGTAGAATGAAAATGGTTGTTACCTGCCAAATCAATGCTTGCTTTGCTCCTCTGTGTGGTAGTAAACTAGCAAAAATCTAAAAGGAAAACACCAAGGGAAAGTTAGTTTCAATGAATCCAGGGACCTATGGACAGCAGTGGCTGATTTAAGTATGAAGGAGACTGATTTATTATTAATTATTATTTACAATAGTACCAAAGGCCTCAGCCAAGATAGGGGCTTATTAGGGGAGCTGCTGTGCAAAGACACCAGTAGTTTCTTGCTGTGGACCCCCCATTCGCCCTTAGTGGCCCAACAAGCCATATATCCCTTCCATATATTGATGCATATTTACTTTCCCATTTAACAGAAAAGAGAAATACAGTCATTCAAACAGTGGGTATGAGACTAGCTGGGTGATACACTCTCACACCAGGAATAACAGACACAGCTGTGGGATACAAAGAGAAACAAATGAAGTCAAATCATAGAAATATTAGAAACAAGGAAGAACAAGAGTCAGGTACTCAGTCTTCGTTGGAGGGTACAGATCCTAAGCCTAATTTGATCCCAGGCCTGATCCTTAAGGATTTACTTTCCAGCTGCTACACTTTGAGATTTATGGACCAAATTCAGCTGTAGCATAAGTGGTGCAACTGTAACCACAGGGGTCAGCGTGCATTACTTGTCCCTGATCCACAGGCTACGGGTCTGTCACAGCTCTCAGCTACAGAGCTTGACTCTTTGGCTCAAGCTGTCAGGAGTCATGCTTTTAGTTCTGGAGATCTGTAGTTCAATCCATGATGTTGACCAAGATGTAGCAGTTATCAAATGAGTGGAGTCTAAATCCATGGAGAGAGAGAGATGCAACACACACTTGATTTAATACACAATTCTTGTCAATGAGGAGTGGTACTTGCTTATGCCCAGGTTTAATCTAGCCCTATCTATTAAAGCTCCCCAAATTGTGACATATATACCCAGTACGTAAACTTTGGGGCATTATTACAAGAATTATTTTCCACCCATGTGTATTTTCACTGGCACCCTGCAATTTATTTACAAGTAGATAATATTCTGGTTCCAAGCAGCAGAGTATGAGGCTTTCTGTGTCTTTCTCTAAATCCAATTCTGGGTAAATATAGGAAAGTCAGGCCTTGTTCTAACTGGCTCATGAATTTCGACAGATGACATTTGAATGATTGACTTTCACGTGTGAATGACATTCTTGAATGTTTGGAAAGCGAAGCAACCAGTGGTTTGGCGTGTCTCGATTTTTGGGTATCCAACTCGACATCTGGCACCCAAAAATTGAGACGCCTAAAATGACTCATCACTTCTGAAAATTTAGATAATTAAAAATACACACATAGACCCATTGCAATCTTTCATCATTACTCACCAGTGGGGTGGCTAAGGGCAGGAAAGCTAAAAGAAGAAACAACATTTTTTAGTAAATCAATTTGTGGGGCTAGGTAGTTGGCTTGGGGATGAGGGGAGAGGAAACACGTATGACTAGTCCAAAAGAAAGCACTGGGGTTTGACCTTTGTCTCTCATTCCCCAACCAGGAGGTGGAAGCATCGCCAAGATACTGCTCTCATAAAATGCAACAGTCCACATCAACAGTGCTAATGGGAAGCTACATAACAGAGCTCCATAGGGAATTCATTTCACTCCTCCCAAAAGACAGCTGTGGTGACACGGTTTGCATAAGAAAAGTGAGAGGTTACATTAAGTAACGAATAAATAGCCTTCATGAAAGTATATCTGTGTCTCACCCAGACTCTGTGTAATCCTGGCTTAATATTTCCTGACCCCAACCAGATTCTACCCACAAGACGGACTCCAACCAGTCTGGAGCAAAGCAGGTTGTGTCAGACCATAGCTGTGTGGATTAAGGGAAAACCCAGTGCACCATAATATACATTAAAAGATTTGGGTACTGTTCATATGGTGCCAAAAACTAGTGACTGGTCAGTATATTTCCCCCTAGAGAGTCGGAGTGCAGACACTGCTCAGAGCAGATGAACTATGTGAAAGGTGTATACAAATAAATTTTCTTCAAAGGATTACGGGAATAGTCGTCAACTGAGATAAATATAACCAACATGAATAACGGTGGCCTCATTTTTCTGTAACTAAAAGGGCCCCCAAGAGTTTCAGTCATTGGAAACATGTCAAAAATGTGCAGCAAGCTTCTATTACAGCAACTGACCTGGTGGTCTAAACACAAGGGGAATTATCTCGCCAGTACCAGGGTGCACAGAGGACTTAAAGAGAAAAAAGAAAGTTAGCACATCTCTCTCTCTCAGCCTAAATGAAAAATATGAGAAGCAAATTCCAACATCTTTTATAAACTCACCAGACTTAGCTTCCAGGCTTCTTTTACCTAGCATGATTTGAAAATAAGATTAGCAATGGCACTTCAGAAGAGATTTAATGGCTAAAATCTTATTTTAACTTTGTTTATTCTATATAATCTTTCTGTAACGATAACTGACATTTATACATAGCATGTCACACACACATCTGTTTGACTATATTCTCTCTAAAATTCCCCCATAGTTTCTACTGAATACAATATTTTATTTGATTTCTGTCCTGAAATGTTGTTATTGTTGTCTAACAGCATTAGAACATACAAAACCATCAGGTCAGAAAGTGAGTAAAAATACAGCTGAAATAGCAATGGAATTTTAGGATAGAATGCAACCAGCTCTTAATTTGGCGTAAAGTCTAAACACACCAGCTCTTCCAAAAAAGGGCCAGGAAAATCTTAATAATTACAAGTGGTCACGACTTAATTTTACATCTCATCCCAAAGACAGCACCTCTAGCAACACAGCGCTATCTAACACCAGCCTGGAACATGTGATTCAGTGATGAACCAAAGAATTCCACCTAATGAATCATCAGTTCAGTACTACTTCCTGCAGAAAGATTCTCTGTGGAGGTTTTCCATCCAAGTATTGACCAAGCCTGCCACTGCTTAGTTTATGAGAACTGATGGACAGACCAAGCTGGAATAGTGGCAGTTCATCTGCAGCCCATGTGACGATGAAGCATCGACGATTTAAAATAAATGTAATAAAGATTTTGCATAGTTCACATCAGACAGGAGTGTACAGACTCTATGTCTGAGCTGTGGGAGAGAGCAGAAGTGTTAAGTTATCAAGAGGACTGATTCCTATGATTCTCCGGCAGTTTTTAAGAGAACTGATGCAATAAGATGCACTAATGAATGATACTTTCTTGGTTGATGGAACTGGAGTCCAAAATTCAGGTCAGCAGCTACCCTAAGAATTCTTCTAGCAGCTTATAAGAGACTGAAAATCTCGGTGGTAATGCAGATTTTTTGAAGCTTTTTTTTTGGTGTGCCCCGTATGTATCTCAGACTCTCTGAGCACCTGCCTTTTCTAATACAGTCGTGACAGCTTTTTCATTCATGAAGTATGTAGCCTCTATTTTCCATAAGCAATATTATAAAGTACTCAAATAGACACACGCTCAGGTTCCAAATGAGGTGTGTGGTTGACCAGTCAATCCATAACTCTAAGATTCTACTGTAAGAGCAACTAGTAGCTGAAATCTGTGCAGTCGGGTATCAGTCATACAGTCATGCATGTAAAAATGCCAACAGTTGCTGAGAACTTAAATACTGAGTGCAACAGTTTGCAATTCCAGGCGATGATTGAACCTAGTGATGTTCTGAACAAAAAGAGCTCTCAACCATGCTTGTAGCTGTTTCTATCACTTCACACCAACTCAGGCATTTTAGGCTTCAGAGTGACACACAAAGTGACATTCCTAAAATCTTCTTATATATAAACTGCTCCTAAGAAGTCATTTTAGAAGTCCAGCAAGAAGGACCCTCATTCATCACTCAGGCAAAACCCCCAAGCTCCAAGAGCTAAATAAGGCTGCTAAAAGAAAAGTCAAATACTTCAAATGGGATATGTACAAACATATACATAACAACAGTTTATTAGAGGATATGTGTTAGATACCTTTTTGTCCTGTAAAGGCTCTTGAAGAGTCTGAGCACTGGTTTGTAAGAGTAATCTGGATTTTTCTATTGTTTCCTAAAAAAACAAAACCAGAAATAAAGATCAGTCATTCTTTTCCAATACCTTCCTCCCATCCCCACTCCTCCATCCAAAACTTCTGTTGTAACAGCCCTTCTGTGCTGGCTTGGTGCTTATAAATACAAAATTAGACCATCACACTCATACGCTTTTACACATACACGCTGATCTGGACTACACCAGTTCAATGGCCTCAAGATTATGCGCACACACATAATTTATGTCAACCCCTCCATCTATACCATTATTGGGTCCAGTGCGTTATTTTAGGTGGCAAACCTGCAAACACTTATGCGTGTGCCTAAGTTTAAGCATGTGAACAGTCCCACTGAAATCAATGGAACTACTTGGTTAAAATTATGCACGTGCATGATTGCTGGCTTGAGTAACTTGCACACCAGATACATTGTTTTGTTTTCCCTCACAAGCAGCTGAATGTCTAATTTTAAATGAAAACATAACATAGATCAGTTAGCCAAGGAAATACGAGTCACTATATCATCAGATCCTCCAGCATCTTAACTTTAATAAGTTTAAAATGAAGTATTGGACCTTACAGCTTTCCCTTACAGTTGAACTTTTAATTTAACATAAGAACGACCATATTAGGTGCGACCAATGGTCCATCTAGCCCAGTTTCCTGTCTTCCAACAGTGGCCAATGTCAAGTGCTTCAAAGGGAATGAACAGAACAGGCAATCATCGCACGATCCATCCCCTGTCGTCCACTCCCAGCTTCTGGCAAACACAGGCAAGGGACACTCAGAGCATGGTGTTGCATCCCTGACCATCCTGGCTAATAACCATTACTGGACCTATTCTCCATGAACTTATTTAGCTCTTTTTTTAACCCTGTTATAGTTTTGGCCGTCACAAGATCCCCTGGCAATGAATTCCACACGTTCACTGTGCGTCGTGTGAAGAAGTACTTCCTTTTGTTTGTTTTAAACCGGCTGCCTATTAATTTCATTTGGTGATCCCAGTTCTTGTGTTATGTGAAGGACTAAATAACAATTGCTTATTCACTTTCTGCACACCAGTCACGATTTTAATAGACCTCTATCATATCCCCTCTTAATCATCTCTTTTCTAAGATGAAAAGTCCCAGTCTTTTTAATCTGTCCTCATACGGAAGCTATTCCCAGGGCCGGCTCCAGGGTTTTTGCCGCCTCAAGCAGCCAAAAAAACAAAAGCCGTGATCACGATCTGCGGCACTTCCACCACGACTCTACCGCCACTGCTTCTTCGGCGGCAATTCGGCGGTAGGTCCTTCCCGCCGAGAGGAAGGGAGGGGACCCGCCGCCGAAGAGCCGGACATGCCGCCCCCTTCCATGTGCCGCCCCAAGCACCAGCTTGCTAGGCTGGTGCCTGGAGCCGGCCCTGGCTATTCCAGTCCCCTAATCAATTTGGCTGTCCTTCGCTGTACCTTTTCCAATTCTATTCTATCTTTTTTTGAGATGGGGCGACCAGATTTGCATGCAGTATTCAAGATGTGGGTGTACCATGGCTTTATATAGAGGCGTTATGATACTTTCTGTTTTATTATCTATCGCTCTCCTAATGGTTCCTAACATTCTGTTAGCTTTTTTGACTGCCACTGCATATTGAGCCGATGTTTTCAGAGAGATATCCACAATGACTCCAAGATCTCTTTCTTGAATGGTAATAGCTAATTTAGATCCCATCATTTTGTATGTATAGTTGTGATTATGTTTTCTAACGTGCATTACTTTGCATTTACCAACATTTAATTTCATCTGCCATTTTGGTGCCCAGTCACCCAGTTTTGTGAGATCCTTTTGTAAGTCCAAAGCAGACTGCGAAGAGTTAACTAGCTTGAGTACTTTTGTATCATCTGCAAATTTTGCCACCTCACTGTTTACCCCTTTTCCCAGATCATTTATGAATATGTTGAACAGCATTGGTCCAAAGCAACAGAGGGTCCTGTGGCACCTTTCTGTTGCTTTTTACAGATTCAGACTAACACGGCTACCCCTCTGAGCATTGGTCCAAGTACTGATCCCTGGGGGACACCACTATTTACCTCTCTCCATTCTGAAAATTGACCATTTTTGCTACCCTTTGTTTTCTATCTTTTAACCAGTTACTGATCCACGCGAGAACCTTTACTTCTTACCCCAGGACTGCTTACTTTGCTAAACAGCCGTTAGTGAGGGACCTTGTCAAAGGCTTTCTGAAAGTCCAAGTACACTATCCAATGAATCACCCTTGTCCACGTTTGTTGATCTCCTCAAAGAATTGTAATAGATTGGTGAGGCATGATTTCCCTTTAGAAAAGCCGTGTTGACTCTTCCCCAACAAATTGTGTTCATCTATGTATCTGATAATTCTGTTCTTTACTATAGTTTCAAGCAATTTGCCTGGTCCTGAAGTTAGGCTTATTAGCCTGTGTTTGCCAGGATCACCTCTGGAGGCTTTTTTAAAAATTGGCGTCACATTAGCTATCCTCCAGTCATCTGGTACAGAAGCTGATTTAAATTATAGGTTACATACCGCAGTTAATAGTTCTGCAATTTCACATTTGGAGTTCTTTCAGAATTCTTGAGTGAATACCATTTGGTCCTGCGGACTTATTGTTTAATTTATTATTTTTTTCCAAAATCTCCTCTAATGGACACCTGAATCTGGGACAGTTCCTCAGATTTGTCACCTAAAAATAATGGCTCATGTTTGGGAACTTTCCTTACACCCTCTGCAGTGAAGACCGATGCAAAGAATTCACTTAGTTTCTCCGCATTGGCCTTATCTTCCTCCAATGCTCCTTTAGCACCTTGACCATCCACTAGCCCCACTGATTGTTTAGCAGGCTTCCTCTTTCTGATGTACTAAATTTTTTGCTGTTAGTTTTTGAGTATTTGGCTGTTGCTCTTCAAATTATTTTTTGGACTTCCTAATTATACTTTTACACTTGACTTGCCAGAGTTTATGCTCCTTTCTATTTTCCTCAGTAGGGTTTAACTTCAAATTTTGAAAGGATGCCTTTTGCCTCTAACCACTTTATGAAAAATACACATATACTTATAAAGAAAAGGAATCGTATACATATTAGACGCTAATTTTGGAGGCTCTACTTTCCAAGGATCTTCTAGGAGAGAACTGCTAGGTGACCTTACTTTTCATCATGAATATATATCATCTCCCTTTGCAACACTCTGCCTTACTTCGTACTTCAGCTGTAACCCTGTAGGTCTTGAGAAAAATTTATATATAAACAATTTTTGGTCACAGTCAAGATAATTCACAGGGTTTTTTTTAATGTGGTTTGCACTTAAAAATGTGAATTAAAGTTTTCAAAAATATATACAGAAAGGGCTGCAATATTTTCTTTCCATCGCTTCGGAGAAAAATGCCTAGATAGTAGCAGATATCCCAGCTGTATGTACTGTCTCTATACATGATAAGATTCTAATGAAGAAGAATCAATAGACCAGAGGGGGAAAAATTCTGCCACAAAAGTTTGTGTGACAGTTTCTATATAATTAATGAAATACCTTTACGCCTGAATATTTACACCTTAAAAATCTGTTCATTGAATCTAACGTCAAAAAGTAATCTTATTTACTGAGGTGAAATATATTAAATATGCTCTAGAACTTCTTGTGATTTAAAGACATTTCCAACCAGGGGAAGAAGTGGGTTACAGCCACACCTTCAGAATACACCTCTACCCTGATATAACGCTGTCCTCGGGAGCCAAAAAAATCTTACCGCGTTATAGGTGAAACTGTGTTATATCGAACTTGCTTTGATCCTCCGGAGTGCACAGCCCCGCCCCCCTGGAGCATTGCTTTACCGCGTTATATTCGAATTCGTGTTATATTGGGTCGCGTTATATCGGGATAGAGGTGTATTTACCCACACAAGCAGCCACACTGATTTCACTGGGGCTTACCTCATTAATAAAACACTTACATACATGAAAAAAGAACAGGAGTACTTGTACCACAAGTACTCCTGTTCTTTTTGCGGATACAGACTAACACGGCTGCTACTCTGAAACCTTACATACATGAATAATCCTTATTGGACCTGGTTTCCAGTGATGAAAGGCCATGAACTTCAATGGAAGTATGGCAATTTACACCAGCTGAGAATCTACCCTCAGCGTGGAATTCCCCCCTGCCCTTTGATGTCGCATAAAGGGGCCCTAAAATCCAGCTGGGTAAGAATTCCCTCATTGCAGACATTGTGTAGGACAGCCATAGGGGGGCCTCTGAAGACCTCTTCACAAGCCTGTCGGGGGCAGGGCTGCAGCAGGCAGCACTTCAGAGATTCCAGGCAGTGGAACAGCTCAAAGAGCAGGCGGGGGGGAGATGGCCCTTAGGCCTGGTCTACACTACGACTTTAATTCGGATTTAGCTGCGTTAATCCGAATTAACTCTTCACCCGTCCACACTACAGAGCCAGTTAATTCGAATTAAAGGGCACTTAAAATCGATTTCTGTACTCCACCTCGACGAGCGGAGTAGCGCCTAAATCGATTTTGTTAATTCGAATTAGGGTTAGTGTGGCCGCACACCACCGAATTACTGTGGTTAAAGTAATGGGGTAGTGTGGCCGCACACCACCGAATTAATGTGGTTAAAAACCGAATTAATGTGCTTAGTGTGGCCGCGCACAATCGAATTTATACAACCTGTTTCCCAAATTCGAATTATCTAAATTCGGATTAATCCTGTAGTGTAGACATACCCTTAGACAGACCCATAGTGGAAACGAACTGCAGAGATGCACAGAAGTTTAAAGTGCACCTTCTTGTACTGTTCCTGGCATGGGGCAGGGCTAGTATTCCTTCACTTTTGTGGCCCCTAAGTTCAGGCCTCGTAAATTTCACAGAAACATGAACTGCCATATTATACTGCCAAAGTCTAAGTAGATTCTAATCGATAACACTAAAGGCAGAATTTGTAGGAAGGCGCAACACAGTATATTTTTAATTGGAATTTTTCAGATTATATGGCTGCCGTGCAAGACCCTGAACGTCAGTGCAGCTGCAACACTGAGGAGGGGATAGAAGTATGCTGGACAGCAAAGAAACTCCTAGTTTCCTACAATAACTGTTATGGGATATTGAATATCTAACGTGGACACCCCAACTGTAAGGGCTTATCACAGTAAACCTTATGAAATGCATTTTATCTATGTTAGAGTAAGGAAGAGATGAATCAACACTGTTGGGATTTGCTCCTGCGGATCCTTTGAGTCTAGAGCAGAACAGCCTGTGCTTACACTTCTCACTTCACATCACCCACACATTCAAGTCATGTGCAAAGGTACAACTGTTAAACTGTAGTTTTGTAAAAAGAGGTAAAGTACTTACATTAGAATTCAGTAAGACTGTGGGGTCTAAAATATCTGCCCAGTGAAGAAATCTTTGGAAAAAAGACTAATAAAAATATACATTAAGGAAACTGTACAAATATTTTGCAGTTCAGCTTAATTAACGCTTTTCTGTAGCTAACAGAAAGAAACCAAGAATCTCTGTCTACTTTGTTTTGTCAACTTTTTTATTTTCCACTAGCAATAGCAATCCCCTATTTTTTGTTATAATCTGATAGCCAGAATGACATTCACAAGCTAAGAGCCACCTTTCGTCTTAGCCATAGTGAGCAAAACTTTTATCCGCGAGAAAACTGGGGTTGCCTTTGAGCTCATAAAACTAGCAACAAAGCAAGTCTGCTTGCTAAGACCCTGGGGAGAAATGCCCCGTAACTTGGCAATGGTTATGTTCCTTCCCACTTCATTTGGGAAGCAGCAGGTATGGCATCTCTAGCAGTTCAACTGTGCACCGTGGAGGGCCATCACGGGTTAGGGGCGCTGGATAAACCAAAAAGGAGACAAAAGCCACCAATGACCCTCATAATCTAAAGCTAGGGTGACCAGATAGCAAGTGTGAAAAACCGTGTGACACTTTTTAATGGGTTACAACAGTTACATACATAAGACAAAGCCCCTCCTATGGGGAGGGCTGGTCACCCTAAAGCACAGCTGTAAAACTGGCTGGTTGCACAGGCAGATCAGGGTGCGCAGGGAAGGATGTGCACCCAGCCTCAGGGCGGCCCCTTCCCCTGTCCTAGGGCGAGGGGGCATGTCTGGGGAGGCCTGCGACCTTCAGCGCTGGCGGGAGCAGAGCAGGGTAATTGCAGGGGAAAGTCTCCTTCCCGCAGGGCCACGGTGCGCATGGCTGAACCCGCGCTCCCACCCCACGCCCAGCCACAGGCTCTGGCATGACCCGATACGATCAATGTCCTGCTCCCGCCCGCCCAGCCAGAAATGCCCCCTGCCCGCTCTGCCCCCTCGTTGCAACCCTGCGGCCCCGCTCCCCGGGCAGGGCTCTCCCGCTCCATACTTTGCCCTCCGTGCTCCAGAATTGCAAGTTCACGTCCATGAGGCTGAGCAGCAGCGGCGCCGGAAAAGGTCCTGCCGCGGGGAGGCTCCGGCTGCTGCACACTCCCGGCAGCCGCTCTCCTGTCCCCGTTGCTGGCGGGCGCAGGCCGCTTAGATCTAGTCCTGCTGGGTGGTGTTCGCCGCAGCTCGGGCTCCTGAGCTGCCTTTCACCGCAGTAGCTGGATGCGCGTAGAAACGTTGATAGAAATGGCTACAGCAGCTGAAACGAGGGAAAGCCGCCTCTCAGGCAGCTGCCTGGCCAGAGACAGCCCCTGCCTCCAACCCCAGGCCTAGGTTAATTCTCTGTGCGCCACATTTCTGTGCCCAGGGGTACCCCCCACCCCAATTTACACAGACAGGGTGGGATTTTCAAAAGGACCATGGGGAGGTGGGCACCTCATTCATTCTGAATTATAAAGGAATTTGGATGCTTAGTTCTCCTAAACCCATTTGGGGGGAAGGGGGGGGGGACCCTGACTCTTGCACCATTTAATTAAAAAAAAAGGATCATTGCCCCTTTTACAAGAGGCAAAAATAATAGAACACTCCCAAAACATAACCAACTGCCCTCCCCAATGCTCACCAGATGGCCCTTGCACTGACCCCCTGGGTATCCTGATTCCTGATTAGGGAACCTAGTAATAACTGGCTCTATCTTATTTATTATTTGTACACAAATGCCTTCCAGGGTTTATTTTTAAATAGACTGTCATAAACATACAGCTAAGGGTAGCATAAAATCCCTCTTTACCCTGTAAAGGGTTAATTCCTCTTTTACCTGTAAAGGGTTAAGCAGCTCAGGTAAGCTAGCTGACACCTGACCAAAAGGACCAATAAGGGGACAAGATACTTTCAAATCTGGGGGAGTGGGAGGCTTTGTCTGTCTGTTCTGTGGCTTTTGCTGGAGACAGATCAAGAAAGCAAGCAATCCAACTCCATTATTATTAGTATTAGTGAAGGAATGCGTTAGCTTACTTTTATTTTGGCTTGTGATTTCCTTTGTAGGAAGAGGGAGGTTTATCCCTGGGTTTGTAACTTTAAGGTTTTGCCTAGAGGGGAGATCCTCTATGTTCTTGAGTCTTTTGTTATTCTGTAAAGTACTTACCATCCCGATTTTAGAGGTAATTATTTTACTTTTTCTTTAATTAAAGTGCTTCTTTTAAGAAGCAGATTGATTTTTCATTGTTCTTAAGATCCAAGGGTTTGGGTCTGTGTTCACCTGTACTAATTGGTGAGGATATTATTTTGAGGCCTCCCCAGGAAACAGGGTGTAGGAGCTTGGGGGGATATTTGGGGAAGATAGGGCTCCAAGTGGCCCTCCCGGAATGTTTAATTCACTTGGTGGTGGCAGCATACCGTTCAAGGTGGAATTTGTGCCTTGGGAAAGTTTTTAACCTAAGTTGGTAAAAATAAGCTTAGGGAGTCTTTCATGCGGGTCCCCACATCTGTACCCCAGACTTCAGAGTGGGGAAGGAACCCTGACATAGACAAAGTTGAAAAACGTACAGCAAAATACCAGATTCAAGTCTGCTTGGTTTTTTATACTGAACTTATTTGCGTTGTTCATGTCTGCTGCCTTTTAGTTAAATTAGTCAGTTAAGGTTTAAATTTTGGATTAAACTAATACATTATAAGCATCCTTCTGCGCTGTGAACTTCCCTGTTATGTGAGGGGCTGCCAGCACTCTTCATGCCAGCAATTTTAATCCTCTAGCTTCTGTTATGGATTAAAGGTTCACCACATTGGCCCAGGAACTGCTGAAATTACTTTTCAGTTTCTTCACTAATTTTGTGGTCTAATATTAATTGATTTTAGGGAAACAGCAGAATGTGGTGGGGAGAATAATGGACTAATTTAAAGAAAATCCCTTCCATGGAAGACATTTGTTTATAACTCAAAAAGAAAAAAAAAGGTACTGCTCCTGTCATGGTATCTGTTCACACAGCTTTTAAGACCACTAGAAACAAGTGTCCACTATCCTACAGCAGACAGTATTTCTGGGGGGGGAAAAAAAAATCTAAGGGCTTGTCTACGCTACCCACTGGATCGGCAGGCAGCAATTGATCCAGCCGGGGGGTTGATTTATCATGTCTAGTATAGCCGCAATAAATCAACTGCTGAGCGCTCTCCCGTCGACTCCGGTACTCCACCAGAACGAGATGCACAAGCGGAGTCAACAGGAGAGCGTCAGCTGTCGACTTACCGCAGTGAAGACACCGCAGTAAGTAGATCTAAGTATGTCGACTTCAGCTATGTTATTCACATAGCTGAAGTTGCGTATCTTAGATCGACCCCGCGCTGTAGTGTAGACAAGCCCGAAGCAGTGATAGCCAAATTGGTGGTCATAAAAAAGCAGGGGAAAGAACACATGTAGTATATGTAAAATGTATAGTATAATCAAGTACTAAGGATTATTTAGTATTTGCATTACAGTAGTGCCCAAAAGACCCAACACTATCAGGGCCCATTGCAGGTTTTGTAGAAACACATAGTAAGAAAGTCCTTGCCACAAAGGGTTTATAGTTGAACTAGAGAAGACATAATTACTTCCAATTTACCCAGCAGTGAGACCCAGCTGTGACTCACCATATGCCTGTTCTGGCAACTGAGAATACACCCGAAGTAGAGATTTTTCCTATCTTGAAAATTTTGATATTTAAACAAAGATCACCGATTTGAAGTCAATGGGATTGCACACAATGCATAGAGGAAGCATATGCAAATCTTTGCAGGACAAGGGTCTTAAATTTTCACAAATATCTGGTTAATGCTACACTTATGAAAAACTAAACTAATATGAAGTTTGACAGGATAAAAAAAAAAAGATTTTTGGTAGGTATATAGAGCTAAGAGCTCAGTCATTGACTATCACTCTCTTCGGGTCAATGTGCCTAAATGAACACTCCACCTGCTCTTGCATGATCACAAGAGAAGCCTTTTTCATTGGTAACTGTAGTATTTTGACAGATTAGTCAACTACAGTTTAGAGCAATATTCTCTTAGCAAAGTTAGCAAAGAACTAGCTAGTCCAGCTATCCACCGCTCCAACTTGGGCTCTCTTATAGGCTTCCACCTTCATTCTTCCACATTATTTCTTCTGTACCCCTCCTGAATAGATTCATTTTGTTTATCCAGGATTTTAAGGAGTTTTCACTTATCCAAGTATCAGAGGGGTAGCCGTGTTAGTCTGGATCTGTAAAAAGCGACAAAGAGTCATGTGGCACCTTATAGACTAACAGAAGTACTGGAGCATAAGCTTTCGTGGGTGAATACCCACTTCATCAGACGCATGTCGAAGATGCATGCGTCTGACGACGTGGGTATTCACCCACAAAAGCTTATGCTCCAATACTTCTGTTAGTCTGTAAGGTGCCACGGGACTCTTTGTCGCTTTTCACTTATCCAGTTCTTCAGCAGCTATTCCTTTGCTCCCTTTGCCACACATATGGTCCAGTTTCTTCTACAGTTATCTGTAGCCACTAGCAGCTTATAAGTGGTAGTAGGTGGGGCTGCGGGAGATAAAACTTAATGCAACACCACACCCAGTCTCTGGTAAGCAGAGGAGAAAGAACATCCAACCTAGATGGTAGTTAGAACAACACTGTAGACAGTCTGCTTTAAGATTAATTTATTGATGATTTCATAGTTTAAGAAAAAAATATATGCTCAAAATCATTTCAGGAGGAAGCCATATTAAATCTTAAACAGACTTAATGAATCTTCCTACATAATTACACATCAAGCACTACAATATTTGGAAATCTATATTTAGTGCAACAGACAATTTAAGTGTATGACCAACTATTTCAAAAGGCAAAAATAGTAATTATTAAGCGCCAGTAAATTTACCACAATTAGAGTTAAGTTCACATCTCCACCAGTTCCTAAACGGAATGCAGTTATTCTTCATTTAATGTTCTATATTCCAATACATCTTAGCTGAACGATTGTAGATATTTGTTACTTCGACCTCCAAATCACATTTGCACGTGGAAGCAGTTTGGAAAAAAACACGAGCATAATATGTACAAGAAATTCTTCCGTCCCTGTCTAAAGAGCTACTGGCAAGTTAAAGGGAACCACGTTCTAGATATTTCTCTGTATCATCCACTCTACAGCTCAGTATTTCCAGCTCTCAGAAACAAGAGTCTATCATCCAATTTTCATGTGTGCACAGAAAGCCTGGCACCATTTCTATTCCAAGACTGCTTAAAAGGAAGGAGGAGAGGCCAATACTCCTGCCCCCCCCCAAAGTCACAGGCACATATACATGGGGGAGATAAAGAAGAGAATGGCTGAACACAGAGATATATGGGACTGCAGTGCACTCTCTCTGGGGAAAAAACAGCTCCAAGAATATGATTTAAAACTTGTTGATTATGTAACTATTTAATGTTTCAGCATTTAACAATTTTTCTTAAACACCAAAAAAAAAAAAAAAAAAATTGCACTTAAATGCAATCATGGTTGCTTCCTTAGGAAATCCAGCATATGGTTTCTAAGTAACAGTAATAAGGACTCTTTCATTGCCACCTAGCTGTATCTGATGATCTATTTATGCACTTTTTCAAAGTACTCCTTAGAAGCTTCTGGACTTGGCTTGATCTGTAAACAAAGAGATACAGTTTTATACAAGTTGGTATATACACAAAGTGTAGGAGATAAAAATTATGGCTTTATATTTAAGATTCCATTTAAGAATACTGTTTATGCTTTAATAAACCACACAGTTATTTCTGTACGTCCATTCACTCATGAGAAGCAATGTACAAAGGTATTTTAACAGAAGTGCAGGCTTCTCAGCTGCAAAAAGAAAAACTGAAAAATATGTAACTGCAAGACGTTTAAAAAATTTAACTAGGACTATCAATCACAGTTTTAATTGCACTGTTAAACAATAACAGAATACCAATTTAAATTTATTATAAATATTTTTGATATTTTTCTACATTTTCAAATATATTTATTTCAATTACAACACAGAACAAAGTGTACAGTGCTCACTTCTTTATTTTTTATTTAAAATACTTGCACTGTAGAAGAGAAACAAGA